ATCACTAGGACTAAAAGTTTATCCCATTAAAGTTTTATTTGAGAGGTAATGGATGGTTGTTCCGTATAATTCTAATTCATAGAAGGGGTACATTTAGTCTAAACTAAATGTCCGAAAAGGTAAAATGGAATGGAAAGTGATGGAGAAAATTCCTTAGATATAAATGATTAGGAGTCTTAAGCGATACGAACCTGTATTTGGTTTGATAACATATTTGTTGTTGGTATACATTAAACAAATATTATTGTAATCCCTTAATGATTATTTAAATGCTGCAAAGAATTTGTAAAGTATGTACAAGGCATTAAAGAACACATGCTAACTTAAAGAAGATCCAAATTATTTTTATAATTGGATACTCGGATTCAGATTTTTGCTCATAATGTCTAAAGGAGCAAAATTATGGAAAAGTGGAACAAAGTCCATCATCGTGACTTCCACTTAAGTTTGAGTTTGTGGTATGCTTTGAGGCCACAAGTCAAAATTAGGGCTACGATGCTTTATCTTAGGACTTGGAAATGTCGACATCTTGTCCAAGTCGCTAAGAATTAACGTAGTTTTGTAGCAATAATATTTCAAGGAAATGACAAGTATTCAAAGAGTGTGAATCACATAAAATTTAAATACTTGGTCGTAAAAGTAGAAGTGAAGAAACAAAGTGTCATTTGAGTATTTTAGTACTAATTGCATGAAAGTGGATCCATTAAAGGGTTATTCCCTATAGCCGTTGCAAGGCATATAAAGAAAATTGGGAATAACGAATGGGGCCTTGTTGGACTGACCGATACTGAATGAAATTGCTCAATTATTGATTTGATACTTATTGAATTCAATAAAAGATATTTGATTTTTCACATATAATACCATCATTATGGATATTCGATTTTATAGTATATACATAAAAGTTGGATGGCTTATGGTTATGGTACGAATTGTGGTACATGGAAGGATCATGTCGCTCGAAGACTTGTGACGCCATGACTCGGTTAATTTCTATTTTAATTTTAAACTTATAGATATATGTATTCAATCATAAGTTTGATGAAAGGTGCGCGCTTAAAGTAGTTATTTGAGTTTCAACACTTATATGGTCCAAGTGGGAGAATGTAATAATATTTTATATATTATTCAATTATTGTGGACCATATAATTAGTTATACCTAATTGAATTAATAGTCAAACTTTATTAAAGATGAATATGTATTTAATAGATTATTTAATGTTCTAATATTAAAGAGTCCAGTGTGTGATGTTTGACTTGGACGATAAGTTAGGTTAGAACATGGGGAATGGTAGTATGATTAGGATTCTAAGTCTCCTCCTCCTATATATATACTACATACCCCTCTCTCACATCTCATACGAAATAAAGTTCTCAACATCAAGGGCCTTATGAAAAGACGAGAGACGCGGGAGAGAGAAACAATTCACAGGCAAAGACGAATCCATTGTTGGAGATTATGAGACGAATCCATCATTGAAGTTTACGAGAAAGATGATCGTAGATCAACATCATAGATGAACAAGGAAGGACTATAAGCTGGATTCTTGTAAGTTCTATGTGCAATTTAATTTATGCAAAGGTCCATGTTCTATAAATTAATAGAATTACATGCTTAGGGTTTATTCAATTCCGCTTAATAGTTATGGATATACCCGTTAAATTTCTTACAAATAGAACTAAGAAAATACATCTTCTTTATTCTCTCTTTCTCTCTAATTTTATAACACGTTATCAGCACGAGTCTCTACCCTCTGGAGCTCAACTTTTAATATGACGAGAGTATGCTCTACAGTTGCGTCTTATAGACGATCCTCGGTATCAGAAATAAGAGTATTAATTTCGTTCTTTACTCGAATCAATTCACCATACCAGATGTCTGAATATTTTTTATCACAGTCATTTTCATTACTTTATCTCGAGCCTCGCGTGTCGAACTGCCATCTATAGTGTTTGTATTATATACTAAAAGCTTGATTTTGGATGATATTATACTTTTACCATTTATGAATGAGAATCATATTAGATTAAACAAGTTCTATGTTCTATTGTTTTGTGTAAGAAAAAAATTGGTTTTGTACCGATTTAACGATTCTATTTTTCGTAAGTAGAATACTTAGAAAAGTCTCAAAACCTTTTTAAGGTGAATGAGAAATTAATTCTAAGTGTTGTATTTTAATTAATTGTGTTTAAACAACTCAAAAGGTTGTAGGGTTCACAAATATTATATTTTAATAAATGTTTGGATAAACTAAATGAGCCATAAATATGCATTATGTATGCTAGAATTGTAGAGGGGCTCGTTAGGGACAAGTAAGAAAAAACGGAACTCGATTCCGAGTCCGTATGAGCTCGTACGAGCCCGCGGCGCACGGGCGCGCAACTGGCAGTGGAAATCGAAGGGTTGCAACCCTTGGTGACCATAAGGTATCTTTTGGCCACTAGATACATCCGTTCCTGTTCGGGCACGTCCCAAAAGGTGTGTTTTGACACTTAAACCTCTTGGAGGTGTCTCCTTACATCTATAAATACCCACTAACATGAAATCATTCATGACATCAAATAATTCCATAACTTTTGCATCCTTTTTACAAAGTTCATATTCATCTTGTGTTCTTTGTGTTCTTTCCTACCTTGAGAGTTCCGAAACTTAAGTATTGTTCGCCGAAGGTTTGTGTATTTGAGTTACCACTATACACAAATTAAAAGTCGTTGTATCTTGGAGGCGTTAGCCGTGAACCGTGGGTAATATACGGGGCTATTTCGTCTTAAGGAGAGCATATCTTACGTGCCTCGACTTTGTTCGTTTTACCAAAATTCCTTCTATTTCTTAAGCCATTTTCTTGAAATTCACATACAAAACAACAATTATAAACTACAATCTTAAGACGAAATATTGTGACTTCATAAGATGGCAACCGAAGGAAACCAAACAAATGCTCAACCTACCGCTATACCGAGGGTAGCTGCTCCTGTCCAAGGCGAGAGACCGCCGAAGTTCAATGGCTCTGGTTTCAAGAGGTGGCAACAAAAGATGCTTTTCTACCTCACAACTCTCTCCCTCTCTCGTTTTCTTTCGGAGGACCCTTTGATTGTCCCCGAAAGTGAGACCGACATGCAAAAGCGTATGGCCTCGGATGCTTGGCATCACAATGATTTCTTGTGTAGAAATTATATCCTTAACGGACTAGACGATTCTCTCTATGATGTTTATAGTCCGATTAAGACGACAAAGGAATTATTGAATTCCTTGGAGATGAAGTACAAGACGGAAGATGCCGGGATTAAAAAATTTCTCGTCGGCAAATTCCTAAAGTACTTAATGGTGGACACAAAGTCGGTGGTTAGCGTTCAAGAGATTCAAATCATCGTTCACGATTTGTTGGCCGAATGATTGATTCTGAATGAGGCCTTCCAAGTTGCGGCTATTGTTGAAAAGTTACCACCACTTTGGAAGGACTTCAAAAACTATCTCATGCATAAACGCAAAGAGATGACATTGGAAGACTTGATTGTTCGACTTCGAATTGAGGAAGATAATCGAAAATCTGAAGTAAGGGCCAACCGGAGCGACTTCGAGGCTAAGGCAAACTTGGCCGAGTCAAGCTCTAATAAGAAGCGCAGAGAACTTCAAAGGGAAAGCAGCCTCAAACGAGCACCAAGAAGTTCAAAGGGAACTGCTACAATTGTGGTAAATCTGGGCATCTTGTGAAAGATTGTCGTCTCCCGAAGAAGGGTAAAGATAGCGCACATATAGCCGAGGATAAATCTGTTCCCATTGACTTATCCTCGATCTAACTGCCGTAGTCCAAGAAGTTAACTTGGTTAATAATCCACGAGAATGGTGGGTCGATACGGGAGCAACTCGGCATATTTGTGCGGATAGAGATATGTTCTCGTCTTATACCCTTACCGACGGAAGGAAGCTATTCATGGGCAACTCTTCGACATCAAACGTCGTGGGAACGGGAAAGGTGGTGCTAAAAATGACTTCGGGCAAATACTTGACGCTAATGGAAGTGCTGCATGTCCCGGACATCCGTAAGAACCTTGTATCCGGTGCTCTTTTGAGCAAAGCCAGTTTTAGATTAGTCTTTGAGGCCGATAAATTTGTAATGACTAAGAATGGTGTCTTCTTAGCGAAAGGGTACCTAGATGAGGGTCTTTTTAAGATGAATGTAATGAATGTTATCCGCCAGGAGGCGAAGAATAAAGAAAGTATTTCTTATTTGTAGGAGTGTTCTAATTTATGGCATGATAGATTAGGACATGTGAACTTTAACACAATTAAAAGGTTGGTGAATTTGGAATTGATACCAAAAGTTAAAATTGATTCACACAACAAGTGCGAAACATGTGTTGAAGCAAAAGTGGCTAAAACACCATTTAAACCGGTGAAGAGAAGCACTATTCCACTCGAGTTAATTCACACTGACATATGTAATTTAGAATTTGTGCAAACTCGAGCGGGATGAAGTATTTCATTACATTCATAGATGATTGTACAAGGTATTGTTACGTTTATCTACTAAAGAGTAGAGACGAGGATTAGAGGCCTTTAAGATGTATAAAAATGAAGTTGAGAATCAACTTAGTCGAAAGATCAAAGCGATTAGAAGTGATAGAGGAGGCGAGTATGTAGCCCCGTTTGAAGTGCTCTGCAAAGAGTCCGGTATTATTCATCAAACGACGGCTGCGTATTCACCACAATCTAATGGAGTGGCCGAGAGAAAGAATCAGACACTAAAAGAGATGATGAATGCGCTTTTGATAAGTTCGGGATTATCCCAAAACTTGTGGGGGGAAGCGGTTCTTTCGGAAAATTATATTTTGAACAAATTACCCCACAAAGGTAACGACAAAACGCCATATGAGTTATGAAAAGGTCATAGACCTACCTACAAGTACTTAAAAGTGTGGGGGTGTTTGGCAAAGGTTGAAATACCTAAACCGAAACAATTAAAAATTGTATATTTATTGGTTATGCAAACAGTAGTAGTGCTTATCGATTTTTGGTGCACAAATCAGAAATTTCGGGGATTCATAATGGAACAACTATTGAGTCTCAAAATGCGGTGTTCTTTGAGAATATTTTTCCTCGTAAAGACAAGGAAGAAATAATTCCGAGAAAAAGGACATTTGAAGAGGCTAAGCTACCTCAAGAAATTGAGGATGAGCCAAGGCGTAGTAAGAGAATAAAAGTACCTAAGTCTTTTGGTCCTGAATTTCTAACTTATATGTTAGAAAACGAACTGAGAACCATTCGAGAGGCTTTGACAAGTCCGGATGCTTCTTTTTGGAAAGAAGCTATCAATAGTGAGATTGAATCCATTATGCACAATAATACTTGGGAGTTGGTTGATTTCCCACCGGGTAGCAAACCTTTGGGATGTAAATGGATTCTTAAAAAGAAGTATAAAGATGATGGAACTATTGATAAATATAATGCCCGATTGGTTGTAAAAGGGTTTAAGCAAACAGAGGGATATGATTTTTTTGATATGTATTCTCCTGTAACTCGAATCACGTCTATACGTGTTCTCATTGCAATTGCTGCAATGCATGACCTTGAGATTCATCAAATGGATATGAAAACAACCTTCTTAAATGGAGACCTCGAGGAAGAAATTTATATGGAACAACCCGAGGGGTTCGTTGCACCTGGAAAAGAGAAAAAAGTGTGTCGCTTGGTTAATTCGCTTTATGGGCTAAAACAAGCACCTAAGCAATGGCACGAAAAGTTTGACAAAGTGATGTTGTCGAACGGATTTAACATCAACGAGTGTGACAAATGTGTCTATATTAAAGGTAACGTCGATTCATTCGTGATCGTATGCCTGTATGTTGATGACATGTTAATCTTAGGAAAAAATAATGGTTTAATTCTTAGTACCAAGAAAATGTTGAAAAAAATTTCGACATAAAGGATATGGGAAAAGCCGATGTAATCTTAGGGATTAAAATCTCTAAAAGTTCGGAAGGAATTATTTTGTCACAATCCCATTATGTCGAAAACATCTTGAAGAGGTTCAATGCATTTGATAAGCCTCCAGCTAAAACGCCTGTTGATTTAACTCAACACTTAGCTAAAAATCGAGGTGAACCAGTGTCTCAACTAGAATACTCACGAGTAATTGGGAGTTTGATGTACTTGATGAATTGTACTCGCCCCGATATAGCATATTCTGTAAGTAAACTAAGTAGGTTCACGAGTAACCCGAGCAATGACCATTGGAATGCACTTATTCGGGTACTTAGGTATTTGAAACATACCTTGAGTTATGGAATAACATATACGAGGTATCCAGCGGTACTTGAAGGGTATTGCGATGCGAATTGGACATCCGACACAAAAGACTCTAAGTCCACTAGTGGTTTTGTGTTCACTATAGGTGGAGCAGCGGTGTCATAGAAATCTTCTAAGCAAACGTGTATTGCTAGATCCACGATGGATTCCGAGTTTATATCCTTGGACAAAGCCGGGGAAGAAGCTGAATGGCTTAGGAATTTCCTTGAAGATATTCCATGCTGGACAAAACCGGTGCCCGCTGTAATGATACATTGTGATAATCAATCGGCAATTGGAAGGGCACAAAGTAGCTTGTACAATGGTAAGTCTCGACATATACGTCGAAGGCATAATACAATAAGACAAATGATCTCGAGTGGGGTTATTTCGGTTGACTACGTGAAGTCAAAGGAAAACCTAGCGGATCTGCTTACTAAAGGCATTAATCGAGATCAAATGTACAAGTTGGTTAGGGGAATGGGATTAAAATCCACAACATAAGAACAGTCTTAGCGGTAACCCAACCTTGAGAATCGGAGATCCCGAAACCTTAGTACAATGGGAAAACTAAGTTTTGACAGTTCAGTGAAACACTTGAAAGTTTCACCAATTCCCAAGAACCGTCAAGTGTTAAAATCTGCCTAAGTGGTGAGGTTAAGTCAAGGACTTTTAATGATTCCTATACCTACGGGTGGAGTAAGGCAGAATACTCTTTATAGGAAAATCACCTTTGTAAATGAAAAGTAAATTGGTCGCTTCAACGAACACTTACTAAACCGAGATATGGTCCAAGGCCGAAATGGACACAACGTGAGAACAAGAAATTGTTAGAGCTGTTATTGTGTGAGTATTATTGTCTTGGTGCACGCAAACAGCCGGTAAGTTCAAAGAATCATGCTACTAACCGGCTAGTGTATCCGATAGTATTTCACTAAGGAAGATTCAAAGCCACAAGCTATCTATCCTGATGCAATGATGGTTCGCTGGAACTCTCAAGTATTGCATACATGCATTAATTTCATTCGTGTGGGGGATTGTAAGAAAAAAAATGATTTTTTACCGATTTAATGATTCTATTTTTCGTAAGTAAAATACTTAGAAAAGTCTCAAAACCTTTTTAAGGTGAATGAGAAATAAATTCTAAGTGTTGTATTTTAATTAATTGAGTTTAAACAACTCAAAAGGTTGTAGGGTTCACAAACATTATATTTTAATAAATGTTTGGATAAACTAAACGAGCCATAAATATGCATTATGTAGCTAGAATTGTAGAGGGGCTCATTGGGGACAAGTAGGAAAAAACGGAACTCGATTCCGAGTCCGTATGAGCTCGTACGAGCTCGCGGCGCATGGGCGCGCAACTGGCTGCGAAAATCGAAGGGTTGCAACCCTTGGTGACCATAAGGTATCTTTTGGCCACTAGATACATCCGTTCTTGTTCGGGCACATCCCAAAAGGTGTTTTTTGACACTTAAACCTCTTGGAGGTGTCTCCTTACATCTATAAATACCCACTAACATGAAATCATTCATGACATCAAATAATTCCATAACTTTTGCATCCTTTTTACAAAGTTCATATTCATCTTGTGTTCTTTGTGTTCTTTTCTATCTTGAGAGTTCCGAAACTTAAGTATTGTTCGCCGAAGGTTTGTGTATTTGAGTTACCACTATACACAAATTAAAAGTCGTTGTATCTTGGAGGCGTTAGCCGTGAACCGTGGGTAATATACGGGGCTATTTCGTCTTAAGGAGAGCGTATCTTACATGCCTCGACTTTGTTCGTTTTACCAAAATTGCTTCTATTTCTTAAGCCATTTTCTTGAAATTCACATACAAAAACAACAATTATAAACTACATTTTGCACTTAGAAAAAATGGATCGTCATCGGGAGAACTGAATATCAGTTACTTGCGAAACAATAATTGTGGTTCACAACCTAGATGGAAATGAACACATCATCCAAATGGTTGTAGAGTTAACGATCTAGTTTTTCTTGACTGATTAGTTGCACTAGTACATTTATGTATTGAACCGGATCCCAGAGAGGAAAAGTTTGTTTTATACTGATCGTCGTAAACGAACTGGACATTGGAAACTTAATGCGTTCTCTTAACCCGTAAAATATTAAACAAACATATATATTGATCAATATATATTATTTTGATTCACTTAGGTGAGATTCAGTTAGCTGAATTAATATTCCTACTGTCTTGGGTAATATTGTTGCATATATAATGTGCTGTTAAAATATTTACGGTCACCATGTACGTTTAGTTTGATGATGTCCTCGAAGTGAGTTCATGAAGGATTATTATGCTAAACCTGCAAGTGGATTAAATTCCGGCATAGTAATAATGTGATGAACGAGCGTTGTAATCGACTTAATTAATGGACATTGTATCTTAAAACATGGGAAGGTAATTCAGGTAATTATTATTGGAATCTCAATTGTAATTTGGGCTAGGGAAAGAGAGTAAAATAATATTATGTTTGTGGCACATAATATAATTTAATTAATTGGAGGAGTGAGTCAGTCCCGCAGTTAGTCCATTAATTAAGAAGCTCAATTCTTAATCTCCTAATGGCCCCTACTGTAGCTCTATACATATACATCATTAAGATCATGGAAAAGAGAAGAAAATATCAGAATTCTCCTACGTGTGATATATATCACGCCCGTCTCTCACTCTCTCTCTCTCTCTCTCTCTCTCTCTCTTTATTTCTCAAGTTTCTGTTTGGGTTTTATCTTATTTTTGTTGCTACACCGATACAAGTTGGAGAGGTGTAAGAGTAACACATTAAAAGATCTTGAAAGTAACTGAGACATCATGATCAACCGGAGCTGACGAACCACGACCTTCCGTCGTGACCCGCCGACCACAATCACCCGCCGACAACTGCGACGAGCTAGACGACGGACGACCAGCCCACGGCCGATCCAACCGCCGCGACGCTGCAATCCACCGGCGACCCGCCACCACCACACTCACACAAACCGATCGCGACACCTGACCTGGTCATCTGTTTGTGATCCCGTCATCATCCTGACGTGCTGTTCCCGGTCAATCCGAATCCGCCAGATTCAGAAAATTTTAAGCAGTAAGTTTCATACGTCAAACCTTTAGATCCATTACGCATAGGTTTACGTTTGCTATTGAATTCATAACTTGTGCATAACGAGATCCTCATAGATCCCAACATATAGCTCCACCAAATGAGACATCATCGAATTCGAAATTGAAAGTTATGGTTATTCTTGAAACTTGGAAGATACAGTTGCCATTTATTACTCTTTTCGGGCCTTGAATTTAATTGATGAAATCGTGTATTATGTTTATGAGTACAGAAAATTATAGCCTTTAAAGTTATTCGATGTCTTGTCTTTGTTTGAAAAATCAAATACTGTATTGGATCAATCACATGATGATATAGTTTGTTCATTTCTTGTTTTCGTTGCATTTATTATATTCAAAGCAACTCTGGAGGCTCCATTCTCAACCTGCACTCCTAGTGAGCAGAGTCATCAAAGCTAAATACTACACTACCTTCTCCCTTCTCTCAGCCAAAGCTCAGACAAATTCATCATGGCTCTGGGCCAGCTGGAGGAAAACTTTGGCCTTCTTTACTCGGAATGTCCTCTACAAGGTAAACAAAGAAATTGAAATTAACATCTTGGACCATCCATGGATCCCCTTCTTACCATCACAGAAGCCCAACACTCACAATCCCTGGGAGAACAGAATAGCTAAGGTTCAGGAACTCTTGGATGACACATGAAGAAGGTGGAATGTGGACCTGGTCCTCCAATGCTTCCCCCATAATGAAAGTTCAGCCATCCTTAACATCAAAGGAATGGACCCTCAAAATAAAGAAAAGCTCACTTGGCCACACTGCAAATCAGGTAACCTAACAGTTGCTGAGGTTTACAGAGTGCTGGTGGATGAAAAATGGAACAAACTTGATATCCCTGAAGGCAGTTCTATGACCAGAGATGTGCAAAAAGCTAGAGAAATAATGTGGTCTCTGAAAATTGCAGGGAAACTCAAACATTTTTTGAGGAGATTCTTCAACAACTCCCTCCCTGTTAACCAGGCTCTCCACAAGAGGATTAAAACTATTGACCCTGTGTGCAAAACCTGTGGAGCAGATCTGGAAACTATTGAACACCTGCTATTCCATTGTGCTAAAACAAAAACTGTGTGGAAACTGGCCTCTATTGACTGGGATGCATTGAGGATTGCACTTCAAATTTTAAACACTGGTGGATCAAACTAAACACACTGAAAAAAAAAACACCATGGTAGATAGAAGACTCCAGCTCACCATCTTCCAACTTTGGTGGATTTGGAAAGCCTGCAATACGTGGGTCTTTCAAAACCACTGGCTCCATGAGTTCACCATATCTCAATTAGCTACATCAGCTTGGAATGAATCCGTTAATGTGCTTCAGTCATAACTTTTATATTTGCTCCCTCTAGCTTGATAGTTCTTATTTTTCCTTAGTTAGCTTCTGTGT